CCAGCGCTGGGGGGGGGGGGGCAGGAGTGAGTTTCACTCTCCACTGACGCAGGAGGTGTTGGCACTCAACTGAACTCAAGGGCCCAGTGGCCTGAGCCTTCGTGGGAAGCCTTGTGTGTCCTAGGCAGCTTCCTCCTGTCGACAATTCATCCCAGCAGGCTCCTGGGCTCCAGCGTCCTGCTATGACGGACGTTCCAGGCAGGGGCTCTCGAATCTCAGGGAGGGGCAGGCTCATACTCTCCACTGACGCAGGAGGTGTTGGCACTCAACTGAACTCAAGGGCCCAGTGGCCTGAGCCTTCGTGGGAAGCCTTGTGTGTCCTAGGCAGCTTCCTCCTGTCGACAATTCATCCCAGCAGGCTCCTGGGCTCCAGCGTCCTGCTATGACGGACGTTCCAGGCAGGGGCTCTCGAATCTCAGGGAGGGGCAGGCTCATGCGTCCCTCTCTGCAGCTGCAGAACAGCCCAGCCAGGACACCCCCTACCTGTGGCTTTCTTCCTTTCCCCAGCGCTCTCGGCAGGGTGCTGCTCCTCGGCCGGCGGGGCCTCCCGGAGCGTTACGCCCTGCAGGCACGTGCGGATCAGCGCCGCAATCCGGGCCGTCTCCTCTCGCCGGGTGCAGTAAACGATGACCGAGTCCAGGCCCCCAAACCTCTCTCCCTGCAGCAGCGAGACCAGGGCCTGGGATCACACAAAGAGAGAATGAGTCTCCCCTCCCAACGAGCTTCTCAAGGCAACCTGCGCCTCTCACAAGGCCGGAAAACCCTCCCCTGCGTTTCGGAGCCCCCGGAAGGCAGGGAGAATGGCCCGCTCCCTCGGACACGCCCCCAGCCCATCCCTGGGGACTTCTGCTCCCTGCGCCGCATAGAGCCCCAGACAGCCCCGTGCCCCAGCGGATCCAGTTAGCCCCATGGAGCATTTCCTGCTCCCTCAGAGACCAGACACACCTGGCAGCCGCGTCACGTCTCCCACGAACACCACGCAACCGCTCGGGTCCAGGGACGGGTCCTGTGCGGAGCGGAGACTGCAGGGTGATCCCCCAAGCAGGGATTCAGAGATGGCAGAAAGCTGCCCCAGTGATTCAACAGCCAGGCAGGTCTCTTGCAAGTTCCCGGAGAGCCCTGCCCCCCTCCCTACCTGATCCTTGTCCCTGTCCGTGGAGACAGACAGGTGCAGGTTTGGGGGCACGGCGGGGG